TAGATTCATGTTCTCTTTCCTTGGGTACAGTTTCTTCACAGTTCCTCCCCTCCCTAGAATGATATGAAGGGGCTAAAAAGCATATAACATGTGGGGTCCTAATATCAGATCCTGTTCATCACTCAAGGTTATCACTCTGTGATCTTGCTGGCTCAGAGCGCTGCAAAGATCAAAAGAGTGGTGAGCGGCTGAAGGAAGCAGGAAACATAAACACTTCTCTGCACACCCTGGGCCGCTGTATTGCTGCCCTGCGCCAAAACCAGCAGAACCGGTAAGCTTTTCACTGCAAGCCAGGTTGGCCTGGCACTCTGCAGTTTGCTAAGAAACTTCCTGATCATCACTGCAGCTAGTGCTAGTATCTTCTAGCTCTAGCAGAGGGTAGAGCTCTGCTCACAGCACTGTTCTCTTTAATTCCCTGCCAGGTCAAAGCAGAACCTGGTTCCCTTCCGTGACAGCAAGCTGACTCGAGTGTTCCAAGGCTTTTTCACAGGCCGAGGCCGCTCCTGCATGATTGTCAATGTGAATCCCTGTGCGTCTACCTATGATGAGACCCTTCATGTGGCCAAGTTCTCAGCCATTGCTAGCCAGGTGTGAAGCTATAGGTGTGATGATTGTGCTCACTTTGGGCTGGTACCTGTACTTCAGAAAGCTACTAGGGACTAGTAATGGATTCGATTAAGATTTTTTTTCCCCTCACTAGCTTGTGCATGCTCCACCTACGCAACTGGGATTTCCATCGATACATTCATTCCTCAAGGAACACAGTCTACGTGCTTCTCCCAGCTTAGAGACTGGAGCTAAGACTGACCCAGGCCTTGGTGATGACATTGAAAATGAAGTTGACATCTCCACATACGGGAAGGAGGTGAGAATGCAAGAAAACTTTGGCGCAGAAGCTTGACGGCTATACATTTTCCATGCTGTGTTCCAAGTGGGCCTGTACGTTTTTAGGGCATGGACTTCTGATGACCTCTGACTTGTGTGTCCCTCCCAGGAGCTCCTACAGGTGATAGAAGCCATGAAAGCACTGCTTTTGAAAGAACGGCAGGAAAAATTGCGGCTGGAGATGCAGCTCCGTGATGAAATCTGCAATGAGATGGTGGAGCAGATGCAACAACGGGAACAGTGGTGCAGGTACCGGCTGAGTAACCCCTCTTGTTCTATCACCGAGACCGTAGGGTAGGAAGTAGAGATGAGGATGGAGTAGTGCCTCAAGATCTGCTTTCCAAGCTCAGTCCTCAGACTCTGCACTGACTTCTCTTTTCTCCTCTGACAGTGAGCATTTGGACACACAAAAGGAACTACTAGAGGAACTGTATGAAGACAAACTGACAATCCTCAAGGAGTCACTGACAAGTTTTTACCAAGAAGAACTTCAGGTGAGTTGCCCTGAACCAGTCCCAAGTAGCTGCTCAGATTCCCATCGCTAGCTTGCCTGAGATAAAGTAGGGGCGGAATGTGTAGTTCACCTTTCTCTCCTCTCCTTAGTACTTTATGTCAATCTATGTTTGATGAACTGATTTAGAGTTTGACTGGCCAATAAATGGTGTAAATGCTAATTAACAGGGCAATGTTTGTTCATTCTTCAGTCATCTATACCTGCAGGATCTGTCTGACTCTGAACAGAACTGTGTTCTCTGTTTCCCTTTAGGAGCGGGATGAGAAGATTGAAGAACTAGAAGCTCTCCTGCAGGAAGCCAGACAGCAGCAAGTGGCCCATCAACCCTCAGGGTCTGAACTGTCCCTACGGCGGTCACAGAGATTGGCTTCTGTTTCCACCCAGCAGTTCCAGGAGATTAAGGGTAAACTGGAACAATGCAAAGCAGAGCTAAACTCCACCACTGAAGGTGAGGAGGGAGAGAGGGCAGGAAGCAGAAGTTCTTCAAACTTGGGCCTTCTGGGGCCAACTCCAACATAATTTCCTTGACTGCCAAGCTACATCCCCCTGACCTTTCATTCTAGGATGCACATGGCCTCATTTATTATGTTTTTTGCAAACTTCTGTTAATTCAGTTAAAGAGGTAAGTCCAAGGCGAGAAAGCCTATACATGTGAGTTTATTGCTTCCTTCCCTCAGAGCTGCAGAAGTATCAGAAAATGTTAGAACCCCCACCCTCAGCCAAGCCTTTCATCGTTGATGTGGACAAGAAGTTAGAGGAGGGCCAAAAGGTAATTAGCTTTCTCCGTTACCAAAGCTCTCACCTAAGACAGTTCCCGGCACTGCATCCCTGGTTTACGTGAGGACAAGATGCTTTCTGTGGCATCCTGGAAAGTGGCTACTGCATTCTTATGGCTAGCCTTTCTAATTTTACTTCTCTTCAGATGGTTCTCTGACTCCTGTAAATCACTTAGCGTGACGTCTTGGCCACAATTTGGTTCCTGCTCTTCCTTTTTCAGAATATAAGGCTACTGCGGACAGAGCTTCAGAAACTTGGTGAGTCTCTCCAGTCAGCGGAAAGAGCCTGTTGCCACAACACTGGAGCAGGAAAACTCCGCCAAGCCTTGGCCACTTGTGATGACATCTTAATCAAACAGGTTGGGGCAGCCTATAAATCACTTTCTCCCATCAACCCATGTCAGAATATATATGAGGAAGATAAAAAATATTTTTAGGCTAATGTTTTAGTGAGGGGAGTTTCTCTTCACTGCAAAGTAACCATTCACTAAGTACAAGACGTTATACTAAGTAATTGTAGGCTTTTTCTGTTATAACTATCCTAGGGAGGGAGATACTATCATATTTCATCCAAGATGCGTAAACGATAAGAAACCATAGTAAAAGGAAACACTAACATAAGCTATGACACTGTCATCAATAAATGCACCCTGATTCCATCCAGATAAATGGAAATGTAAAAAAATACATCCTAATTTGATACCCACCCAGGAACTGAGGCTCTTGGAGGTTAAGTGAAATTATTCAGGCTCATACCACCTGATGTGTTAGAAAAGGTCCTTCTATTCAGTGCTATTTGTTTGGGTCTTAAATACCAACACCCACCCGTCCCACACACACCATTCAATTAAAGCTCTGACCATACAGAGCTAATCTTTGTAAAAAGAAGTTTTATTAACTATAGTGTGTATTACCTTGCCCTCTAGAGTTTCTTTAATAGATCAGATAGAAATGTTTTCTATAACTTTGTTCATCTTCCTTAGGATCAGACCCTGGCTGAGTTGCAAAATAACATGACGCTAGTAAAACTGGACCTTCGGAAGAAGGCAGCATGCATCGCGGAGCAGTATCATACCGTGCTGAAACTTCAAGGCCAGGCTTCTACCAAAAAGCGCCTCGGTGCCAACCAGGAAAACCAGCAACCAAACCAACAGCCCCCAGGGAAGAAACCATTTCTTCGTAACTTACTTCCCCGAACACCCACCTGCCAAAGTTCAACAGACTGCAGCCCTTATGCCCGAATCCTGCGCTCACGGCGTTCCCCTTTACTCAAATCTGGGCCTTTTGGCAAAAAATACTAAGGTTGTGGAGAGAGCACTCCCCTCAGGTGGGTCTGCCGCTCAGTTTAAGAAATAGGTTTCTTTAAAGCTTTACCATATATATACCTGAAACTCTATCTAATATGCAATATTCAGACACTAGTAGTTTTTCTCCCTTTTGTAATATAATCACCTATGTAATCTTACACTTTTTTACTTATATGGTTTCTATGCACACAAGTTATATTAAAATAAAGATATTATTCACATTTTAAATCTAAGTTCCAAATCTAGCATTATCATTGAAGTAAATTATAAAAGGGGCAGAAAAACTGAAAATCAAATACCATCCAGGCCCCTGGGAACCTTGCACAAGAATGGCAGTGGAAACCACCAACTGGTGTACAGCTAACCCAAGCAATCTCCGTAAGAAACGAATGCAAGGGACATTAGATATGCTAAACCTCCCTTAAAAATGAAGCATCGTATATTAGGAGATGAATGGGTAACAAACTTGTTCTGGAAAAAGAATCAAGGAAGGCTGGGCCCTGAGCTCAGAATAACCCATAGTATCCACTGTCCAAATCACAGCAGACATAATCACAGCATATTACCTCCTACGGAACATACAAGCACAGGCCTACAACTCTCCAATACAGCAGAAATGATTGCTTTTACCTTGTCTAACAGGTGAAAGTTAGGAAAAAATTCTGCTGGAGATGGGGTGGGGGGAAGAGACACAAACAATTATGTCAAAAATATTTATTAAAACAGACTGACTTAAAGAGTTTATTCTTATCTGTATAGTCACAAAAGTTATCACACCCAAATATCTGTGAAACTCTGTAATCCTGTCTCCTTGCTCTGCTTTAGTAGGGGTATAGTTAACTCTAGACATCTTTTCCCCGTAGTAGGGGCCATCAGTTCCACACTCAGTGAGTCCTTTTGCCCCTTTGTTCAACTCTACTTGTTACTTCCAATTTGAAAGTTTCTAGGAGACACCCCCAAGTCACGTTTGGGAAGAATGTCTTCCTAGTAAGAACAAAAATACAGCTTGACTCCATTAAAACTAATCTCTGATATCAGAGTAGTCATGCTTAGCACATCAAAGAATGATGAGTCATGTCTACCCAGTGCCCTGACCTTCCTAGGGTATCCAGTGCCCTACTGTCAGCAGAGGGCAACGTGGCAGGCTTTCTTCCTTGCCTTTCTAAAGGAATCTCTCACTCCCAGCAGCATTTAAACTTTGTTCCTGTAGACTTGCCTGTGCTAAAGTGCTGCTAAAGGCATGTTTTGTGGGGTGCCAAAAGACCTGGGAAAAAGGCCAAGATCTGTAGCCACTCTGAACAGAAGGGAGATAGAAGTGCTTCAAACTGGCAAAAGACAGTATCTGTTCCTGCCAAGATTCTTCCATCAGTCTACTCTGAAGGTGATTCTATAAACTGTCCCCAAGGAGTTGTACAAACAAAAAGAAATAAGGTCCTTGGAAAAATAGATGTGGCTGTTTTTTACATGGAGATAAGGCTTAATATGGGTCTGGCAATGTTCTGGTTTGAAAGAAGCCAACTATGGCGTGACTGAAGACAGGTTGAGTGGAGAAACTCTGCGTGTGGGAGTGTTATTAGCAGACAGTGAAGCAGGGAGGAAAAAGGGTGCCGGTATCTCAGTGGAGGGAGTCTCGCCTTGGTTCCGAAGCTGTAGGATTTGCCTGAGCAAGGCCTTACCTTCTTCCCGGGTCTGAAACAAGGTCAAGCAAATGTATCAAAATATATCCAAAGTTATTCTCAAAAACAAGTTCTAAAATACTGACTTATAAAGTTTCTCAGAACAAGGTAGCCTCTCCACTCACCCTTTTAACCACCTTCCACCCCCAGATCACAGTAAAGTCATGTCCTCAAACTTAAAATCCAAGTCTTTCACTAAAGTACTGATACTTACATCATTGAATGCACAACACTTCTGAGCACAAGCTGAAGCTTCATCCCACAGCTTACACTTAAAATAGTACTGGGCCAGATAGCGGAAAGCAGTGCTCTCCTCCAAGTGTTCCACTATTTCCTAGATAAGGAGAGCAGGGATGACTGAGGTGATAAGAATAAGATCAGCAACCCAATTCTCATGTTAATGACACATACCCCACATGAATAGATATCTTGGATATACTTGATGTAACACTGGGCTGCCTGTTCTGACTCGGTCAACTGTTCATGAAGCCTACAAAAGAAATTGGTTGTTAGGTACAAATCATATTGCAAAGCAAGCTAGCGATAAAAAAAGTAAAAGTACACAAGTAACATCACAAAATGACAATATATAGACAAGTACAAATTTTGACATAAATGACACAGTGGGACCCAGATTATTAGTGCCCAGAAGTGACGGTTACTTCATCAAAGCTTCAAATCATTCTGCTTCTGGTGATGGAGGGAAGGTTAGTAAACACTTAAGCTGGATAACATACCATTGCTAAAACTGCCTGGTAATACCCTGAGTAAGGTCAAAAAGATACCAAGCAATTCAGATTTTTTGTTAAGAATCCAGAAAATAACTAGTAGGAATGAAATTGCATTTAAGAACCTCTTTCCCTATCATTTCTTAGTTATTCTGTATTTTCCTGGGGCTTAGGAGAACTGATACCTAAATTAGTTTCTCTAGACTGCTCTCACATAAAATTTCCATTTCCTTCAATTAGTTCTTGAATTTTCCAAATGGGAGAACAATTCCCCTTCAAAAAGTACTAGCATTCTCTTGAGTCACGATGACTAAGTTTCCAGATCAGTATTCATACTGATCTACTGTATGATACTGTACTGTACTGTACTGTATGATACTGAGTTTGGCTTAAAACTCAACATTCAGAAAACTAAGATCATGGCATCTGGTCCCATCACTTCATGGCAAATAGATGGGGAAACAGTGGAAACAGTGACAGACTTTATTTTGGGGGACTCCAAAATCACTGCAGATGGTGACTGCAGCCATGAAATTAAAAGACGCTTGCTCCTTGGAAGAAGTTATGACCAACCTAGACAGCATATTAAAAAGGAGAGACATTACTTTGCCAACAAAGTCTAGTTAGAGCTATGGTCTTGCCAGTAGTCATGTATGGATGTGAGAGTTGGACCATAAAGTTGAGTGCCAAAGAACTGATGCTTTTGAACTGTGGTGTTGGAGAAGACTCTTGAGAGAGCCCCTTGGACAGAAAGGAGATCCAACCAGTCAATCCTAAAGGAAATCAGTCCTGAATATTCATTGGAAGAACTGATGCTGAAGCTGAAACTCCAATACTTTGGCCACCTGATGAGAAGAACTGAAACATTTGAAAAGACCCTGATGCTGGGAAAGGTTAAAGGTGGGAGGAGAAGGGGACGACAGAGGATGAGATGGTTGGATGGCAGCACCAACTCGATGGACATGAGTTTGAGGAAACTCCAGGAGTTGGTGATGGACAGGGAGGCCTGGCGTGCTGCAGTCCATGGGGTCACAAAGATTCGGACACGACTGAGCAACTGAACTGAACATTCCCTCATTCATGTAGACGATGTATAAGAGGCTCAAGAACATGCAGGATCCACCTACCAGAGAAGCCAACAGAAATGTAACTAACATTTCCCTCTTTCACTCACTTTGCCAGTTTCACCAGAGCCATCTTTTCCACATCTCCCACGGCATAAGCTCTCCAATAGCACTGTCAATAAAGAAATAAAAAAACCAGTCACTTCAACCACTGCCCCATGTGCCATGACTCACTCAGGTCCTGCAATCCTCCCAGAAATTCAGACTTAGAGAATACAAAGCATTTTTACTAGATCTGAGGTCTAGGCTACATACTAACATTCCCACTCTGTCAGTCCTTCTTTGCTTTATACACACTGCTGCTGCTACTGCTGCCAAGTTGCTTCAGTCATGTCCGACTCTGTGCAACCCCATAGACAGCAGCCCACCAGGCTCCCCCATCCCTGGGATTCTCCAGGCAAATGAGCCTATAAATATTCAGACTTCCCTATGTAGACAGATACAAATGAAGGAAAATTAAGCACCAATAGCTCAACCCGTCATCCAAATATTAGGTTTCCACATAAATTCTCCAGAACCCAATTTCAGGTACCTTTTTGGCTTCCACTAGTTGGTTAAGTTTCTCATAACATTCTCCTAAAGCAACCAACATACGAGAATCATTGGGCCTGTAAGGAACGAGAAATAGGAAACCTGAGCAAAGACTTTAAAGATAACTGAAGTCTTCCCTTGAGGAACCACCACCACAACCGTTTCAAATCCATGAAAGGAATGGGCTTTAATCCAATACTTCATATAATTATATTGTGTTCACAATTATACTATTTTTTAAATTATTTAATTAATTTGGCTGCCTTGGGTCTTAGTTGTGGCATGGGGGGGTTTTCGTCGCATCATGCAGGATCTCTCCTGGCAGTGCAGGAACTCTAGTTGTGATGCACAGGCTCAGTAGTTGTGGCACTTGGGCTTAGCTGCTCCGCAGCATGTGGGATCTTAGTTCTCCAACCACAGATCGAACCCACATTCCTTGTGTTACAAGGCGGATTCTTGACCACCAGACCACCAGGGAAGTCCCCACAGTTATGCTATTAACATATTAGTAGAATACACTACATAAAAATGACCAAACAACATACGGCATGTTTAAACTTAGGTCTTCAAAAGTCAAAACTATTCACTGTGATTCTTCAGTAGCTATCCAAAGAGAAAGAAAAGTGTCAGCCCTTCCCACAACAAACATCATCAGGTGGTAGTCAGACTTACCGAAGCTGGTGGGCCCGTCTATAATAATAAAGGCAATAAAATGGCATCTTAAGGATTTCATAGGTCTGCCCAAGGCCATACCAAGCTCTGTAGTCTCGCTTATTTACCTCAATAGCATGCCTAAGAAATGGAAGAGAAAACTGGTAAGAAGGCAGAATCGAAGTTAGCGACTTGCGTAAAAGTGTTAGTTGCTCAGATGTCTCTGACTCTCTTTGGACCCCACGGACTGTAGCCTGTCAGGCTCCTCTATCCATGGGCAAGAAAACTAGAGTGGGAAGCCATTCCCTTCTCCAGGTGATCTTCCCAGAGGTTCCTAAAATCACAACAATCTGTTCCACCTCACCCTCCAACTAAAACCTCACCTATAAGCCTGAATAGCAGCAGACGTATTCTTCATTTCCATGTACTCATGTCCCATCAGCGTCCAGGCCCCAAGATACCGAGGATTCAATTTCAAGGCTCTCTGGAAATACAAGGCTGCTTTCTCATGTTGAGAACGCAAACTATAATAATTGCCTGATTGGAAAAAAAAGTATGTGAACAACTAGAAAGATTAAAATAAGTCACTAAAATAGGCAGCATTTCACAGGGTAGGCATGAACTCATTCCCCCAAAGTCCTTGCAGAAAAACCAAATTGTATAGGCAATATCATCATTTCCTTGGAAAATATATTTGATCTAACATACATTCTGGTTTTTTTTTTTAAAAAGTGTTTCCTAACACCACAAAGGTTTTCTTCAGTTTATTTCCTCTGGATATTAGCATTTATACATATATTTTCTTAATAAAGGGTAAGGTATTCCTAGAGTATGCTTCAGATTGGTAGTTTTCCAACTATCTTACTAGGTTGCTAAGAAAGTACCTGAAAGGTTAAAAATGTAGAACTCTGAACTCCTCTCTTCCATAAGAATCAAGGAAGTTCTATTATCACTGGCCTTAAAAAGAGTATATGAAAGATTTTAGGATTCTATTAAAAAATTTATTTGAAGAAAGGGAATAAAGGCCATCTGACTTATCTCAACTAGTAAACGCATAAATGATATGTGGTGTATATCCAGACAATGAAATACTTTTCGGCAGTAAAAAGAAAAGAACTACTGACCTATGCTACAACATGGACAAACCTCAAGAAACAGCTCTGTGAAAAAAGCCACATAATAAGACTAAATATTCCAAGATTCCATTTAAAATTTCTAGAGAAGGCAAAACTGCACACTCAGAAGGCAGATCTGCTGGGGATGGGAGCAGGACTGACTGCAAAGAGACTCAGGGAAACTCTGAGGTTTGACAGAATTTTCTAAACTGGATTGTGACTATGGTTACACAACTGAGTAAATCAGCAAAAGCTCAAGGAACTGTAAACTTAAAATGGGTATATTTTATGGTATACAAATTATCCCTCAATAAATTTATCTTTAATATATACCAATAAAATGGACAACCTAGAAGAAATGGACATATTCCTAGAAATATATAATCTCCAAAAATTAAAACAGGAATAGAAAACATAAACAGACCAATTACCAGTAATAAAACTGAATCAGTAATAAAAAAAAAAAAAACTCCCAACAAACAAAAGTCTGGGACCAGATGGCTTCACAGATGAATTTTATCAAACATTTAGAAAAAAGCTAACAATTATTTTTTTCAAATTATTCCCAAAAATTACAGAGGAAGGAACATTTCCAAACTCATTCCACAAAGCCAGCATCACCTTGATACCAAAACCAAAGACATCTCAAAAAAAAGAAAATTACAGGCCAATTATCACTAATGATCATAAACGAAAAAGTCCTCAAAGTATTTGCAAACTGAATTCAATAATACATTAAAAGGATCATACATCATGATCAAGTGGGATTCACCCAAGGGATGCATGGATGGTTCAATACCTGCAAATTAATCAATGTCATATATACCACATTAACAAAATGAAAAATAAAAATTATATGACCATCTGTACAGAAAAGATACAGACTCGCTAAGTTGTATACCTGAAACCAATATAATATTGTAAATCAACTATACCTCAATTATTTTAAAAAGAAGAAAAAAATGAGAGATATACCAAGACTTCTGAATGATTTTTCACAAGATATTGTTGAATGAGAAAAGTAAAATGCAGAGAAATGGGTACAATATGATCCTATTTTTGTAAGCAAACAGCCCATTAAACCCTGCATTGTCGCTGTTTAGTCACTAAGTCGCGTTTGACTCTTTTACGACCCATTGGACTGTAGCCCGCCAGGCTCCCCTATCCCTGGGACTTAAGAACACTGGAGTGGATTGTCGTTTCCTTCTCCAGGGGATCTTCCTCACACAGGGATTGAACCTGCCTCTCCAGCACTGGCGGGCGGATTCTTTACCGCTGAGCCACCAGGGAAGCCCAAACCCCACATACATGTGTATGTGTATTTTTCATGTGGTACCAGAACATGCTAACACAAGTATTTTAAAGGATGAAGGGTGCAGTGAGGGGGGAAAAAAAAATCTCCTTTATGTAAAAACTGTATGTGCATAAACTAAATAAAAGGATGGATTTAGATATATACATATACTAATTTACAGAGACCATGATAAACTGTCAAATGGAAAAAGCAAATTGTGAGAAACTTTATGATTCCACTCTAGTAAAAAACAAGTAATACTATTTCTATATATGTGTTTGTCTTTTTTAAAAAAATTTGTCTAGATTCAGCAGTCAGTTTGATGCAGGAGAAATCATTTATAACAACTGTCTGTATCACATAAGATCATTAAAGTTGATATTCACCTAGGAAAAAACATGGGAGGTCTTTAATATATACAAAGATATATTGTGGCTTCTGCCACTGACTCAGACTCAGATACAGAAAAGTAACCAAACTTAAGCAGATTGTCCAAGGGTTAACTTCTGTAATAGAATAGAAGTGAAGCAGTGGTAGCAGGAGTATAAGCTTTAGCTACTAAAGCAGTGGGGATGACAAAAGAGATGCTAAATAAGTCAGAATAGGCAAGTTCTGTGCAAAGATTAAGTAGATGAGCTTTTCTGACCAGTTGGAACAGCTACAATGTATTATATAATTACAATGTGCTGGGCAACTTAACATTGTATAAGTGCTTTGTATGTATTAATTTACTTAATCCTTTAAAACAAACACATAGGAAAAGGTTCTATTGATAAATCCCTTTATGGATGAGGAGAATTTAAATCCACTGTCACACAGCTAGTGAGTAGCAAAACCAAGAGTTAAACTTGGGCAGTTTGGTTCCAGAGTCCAAATCTTAACCATGCTACACAGTAATGTGTGTGTGTGTGTGTGTGTGTGTGTGTGTAAAGCTGCCTGTCAGAGACTAGAACTCCAGAAAAGATGCAAAAGGAAGCATTCAACTCACATCAAGACATAAAATCAGAAGCAAGAAATAAATAAGTAGAGGTTTCTTGCCATCACTCTATTTATCACTCTATTGTTTCATTGTCTTTCAGGTCCTCAAGTTTCTTCTCTCTCCAACCTTTTTACTCCTTTCACTTCCTCTGAATTGGCTATAATATGGAAGCTGAAATATACTTTTTATCTTATCTAACGTTCCTTATTCTTAAAATAGGTGGCTGAATTCAACAAACATTATTGACCACATGTTAGGAACTTTGTCAGGCATTAAAGATATACTGGGGGCAAAGGACAGGATGGCTCAGCAGTAAAGCATCTATCTGCAATGCAGGAGATGCCGGTTTGATCCCTGGGTCAGGAAGATTCCCTGGAGGAGGAAATGGCAACCCACTCCAGTATTCTTGCTGAGAGAGTACAACGGACGAAGGAGCCTGGTGTGCTACAGTTCAAGGGTTTGCAAAGAGTCAAACACAACTGAGAATGCACGCATGCACAGATATACTGAAGAGAAAACAAAAACAGTTCATTAAGAAGTTTACCAAAAATAAAAATAAATTTAAAAAAAAAGTTTACCAATCAACCAATTATTTTAAAAAACAGACGGGAATTCCCTGGTAGTCCAGTGGTTAGGACTCTTTGCTCTCACTGCTAAAGGCCTGGCTTTAAACCCTGCTAGGGGAAGTAAGATCCCATAAACTGTGTGGCATGGCCAAACAATAAATAAATAAAATAAAAATCCAGAAACTCCTAAAGCATTACTCTTCATATGTATGTCTCCTTTGATTTTAACTGGTTTTAAGTTCAGTTCAGTTCAGTTCAGACGCTCAGTCGTGTCCGACTCTTTGCGACCCCATGAATCGCAGCACGCCAGGCCTCCCTGTCCGTCACCAACTCCCAGAGTTTCCTCAAACTCATGTCCACAACTTATATAATAGAAAATAATTAAATTTTTTAAATGGCACATCTATATAATAAAATACTACATAGCCATCATAAATAATACAACTCTAGATGTAATAGCATGAAAAGATGGAAAAAGATATATTTTAAGTTAAAAAAAAAGCTCATTACAAAGCAGTTAATATGATGACACAATTTTTGTAAATAACCATACCTACACATATACCATTTTTAGTATTTACACAGAAAAATATTCTGGAGTTGTATCCACCAAACAGTCTTGGGAGTGGGATTACAGTGATCCTTCCTATTCTACTGTATATAATTTTTTTATCTTTGACACTTTTTTTTTGGCAGGATCCCAATTCTTTGACCAGGGGTTGAATTCATGCCCCCTGCAGTGGAATCTCAGAGTCCTAATCACTGGACTGCCAGAAAACTGCCCCCCTCCTATTTTTTGACACTTTTATATTGTTGTTATTTGGATTACTTACACTAAAGATAAATCTTGAAAGAAAAAAAATAGTGACTCTTACCAATTACACAGCATGTTTCTACACGATATTTATCAATCTCACAGAGGTTGTGAGCCAGATAACTCAACTCAGATTTCATGCTCTGAAAGAAAAGAAAGATGATCTAAGCATGAAAAAGGAACCCTTATTTTTCTTGTATCTAATGCTACGAGGTGACAATCCAACCCAGGAGATCAAAGCACAAAAGAGCTTAATCAGGTCTAAGCAACGGAAGCAGCTCACCCTGACATAAAGAAGGTTGGAGAATGTGTCCATATTTTCAATCCTGTAAGGGTCTTGTTTCCTTAGCTCATTAAAAATAGAGAGGGCTTTGTCAATATCTGCAGAAATAAGACAGAGTTCAGAAAACAATACAGTGCTACCTTCAGGATTTGATGGTACTTCGTTATCCTTATTCACTCACCTCTGATATTGTGATAGGCAACTGCAATTTGGGAAACAATATATGAGCTCTTAGAGAAGCCCACATCAATGAGATTCTGATACTTTTGCAGGGCCTCCTCTATCAACTGCAACTCTGTGTATATATGGGCCAGAAAAAACTCTTTCATCCAGGTGTCTGGCAAAGACAGGAACTTCAGCTGGCAGCAGGAGAGAGAGGGACATACTTAATATACTTTGACCTCTCTCTCAAATGAACATCAAGGAACTATCTTTATTTTCTAAAAGAATTTACCACCAAAATTTTATTAGAGCACCTAATAATGAACAGGTGTGTGTGTGTATTCAGTTGCTTCAGTTGAGGTGAAGTCTGCAACCCTATGGTTTGCAGCCTACCAGGCTCCTCTGTCCATGGGATTCTCCAGACAAGAAAACTGGAGTGGGTTGCCATTTCCTCCTCCAGGAGATCTTCCCAACCCAGGGATCAAACCCACATCTCTTATGTCTCCTGCATTGATAGGCAGGTTCCTTAGCACTAGCACCACCTGAGATGCTGTTCAATTAAGTGAATAGGACTCACAAACGTAACAGGAGGAATAGGGAAGAATGGTCTAGCTTCAAAAAGATAGGATATGAGGTGAGTCTTGGAGGATGGGTAGAAACTGAATAGAAAAGGGGAGAGGAAGACAACATTCTAGATAAGGGTAACAACAGAGGAAAAAGTCATGAGTGTAGGTAAACAGGATGAGGCAACTAGTTCAGTTTGAGGGGAGGCTATGTGTTGGGAAGCTGTAGGAAAAAAAAGACTGAACTAAGAGTGGGTGCTATGCTACAAACAGAAATGGGATGCAACGTGAAAATATTGCAATTTTTGTTAAGAGAGTGACATGATGACATGAGTGCTTTAAGAGTAAGTTTGGAAACAGTATGTAGGATAGCTTGGAAATGGAAGTACAAAAATAGGAAAGCTAGATAAAAAGTATTTATTACTTTTAAGTAATCTAGTTGTGAGATGATAACCAAGATGGCAAAGGGAACCAAGAGAAAAAGATGCAGACAAGAAGAAAACCATGGCGATGTCTGGTGACTGACTAGATAAAGGGAGATGAGAAAAAGGAAAGAGACAAAATATGACTTTGAGGCATCAAGACAGTACATTCTGAGAAGCAGTGATATAACTGAGAGTCCATCAGGTTGAGAGGAAGAAAGAGAACTGAGGAGGCAAGATGAGAAATGTGGTTTTACATATTTTAAGTTCAGAGCTAAACAAACTTTTATTGAAAGTCTGGTACATAGTTAGAGATAAGTAAATAGAGGTAAACCAAGATTAAGATTTCAGACTCAAATTTAGTAGCATGTGTCATTATTGAGGGAAATCAACCAGCCCTTGGTCCCTTAGAGTCAACAAAAGGAAGTATGTTGTTGCTTCTATTAACTACTGAAGAACAGCAAAATAAACTCTGTAGACAGCTCTGTAGACATTGTTCTCTAACAATGACTAATAAGACAATTACAGTTTAGAAAGCAATTTCATATACATTATTTCATTAATTAACACATTTCTAAATCTTAACAGAGACCTATCACAGTTCAGAAGAGACATTAAACATGTTTTCAATACAATTCTTGATTTAAGAGAAATCACTCCTATAGCATCTTTGGAATTAGGAAACTATAATAGCATTTAGTCTATAAAACAAGTTACAGTAAAACTTGAATCTGAAAGCATGAATAGGAAAAGACAGTCTAACACAACTGGATGCAAATCCAACAGCATCTACCAAACAAGAGCTAGACATTAGTCTTTCAAATAAAGACCTAAATCCCAACAATGAAAGAGACCATAGGAGAGAGAGCAAAGAGGTAGCTATAATGAAAGGTTTAGCAAAATTTTTCTCCCCCTACTGGATTATTAAAGAATTACTTAAGACTTGAAGCAAAAGATTTTTCATATAACTCATCTCAAATTTACCATCTCTTTGTCGGTAATCAAGTTACAGAGTTCTAGCCAGGCTCCCCAGTGCAAAGGCAAAACATGAGTAGCTTCCACAAACACATCAATGGCCTCTTTCACTAAGTCCAGCTTTCGAAGCACAACACCATACCTAGAAGAGAAGGGAACGATCACAGAAGTTAATAACATCTCCCCTACTCAGAAGAATCTCTCTCAGAAGTTCCAAATTATACTGTAACACTTACAGATAAAGGCCAAAGCCATCAAGTTCCCGAGCCTGGTGTTTTTTGCTGAGTTCCACTCTCAGTTCTCTAAGAGCCTCATTTTTCACTTGACCTTTCTCCAGAGGGCCTAGGAAAGAAACAAGAGTTCCTGACCGAAGGGTAGACCGCTGCTTTTTATTTCAGACTCAGATACTCCCTCTGGCGTCAACCAAAGTTACAACTGGAACTTCCAGCCAACATTCACCAATGGCCGATGACATCTTACACAGTCCATTTACTTTATTATAGAAACTGCAATTGATAATGGGTCTGCAGTCATACTCTGTTAGGTCCACATAGGTTTTTAAAATTTTAATTATCAATATTTAAATATCAGAAGCCTCACCTAAAAATCTAAATTTCCAGGTTCAGGTTGCAGGGAACAGGGTAAGGCCAAGAGAGTAAAGCCCCGGACAAAACCAAGCCCACATCCCCACAAGGGAGCCCTCAGAGGCAGCTGGGCGACAACCAGTCAGCTGTGCTCTCCAGCCTGCAGACTTCTCCTCAGTCCACCTCCCACACTTATATTACCTGCCTGGATCCTACAGGGATTAGTCTGCAACTTCTGCTTTAGTCCAAAAGATAAGAGAAAGAAATTCATACCTAAGCTATCCACTGTTTCATCATCCTTCTTCTTTTCTCCAGACTGTAAGAGAAAATCAGTTAAGTAGGTCTTTTTTTCAGTTTACTCTGAAACCTGTTCTAAAACTAGCAGCCTGAAATGACCTAAAGGGTCCAAGTTCAAAATGAGATCTACTGTTGGTCGCTAATTTTAAACAACTATTTAGGCGCTCACACTGCCAAATCTGGAATAATTTGAGTACCAAAATGATAAAGTACAATAATGAATTATAAACAATTAAAAAAAAAATAGGTATCCTTGAGTCCATACTGACACTAGATAAATACATAAATAAGTGAAGGGGAAAATATGCTCTTCACAAAAATTAATAAGTATTTATGTATTTATTTGGCAGGTCTTAGTTGCAGCATGCAGGATCTTTTTTTTAGCTGCGGCATGTGGGATTTTAGCTGCAGCATGCAAACCCTTAGCTGTAGCATGAGGGATCTAGTTCCTTGACCAGGGATTGAACCCAGGCCCCCTGCATGGGGAACAGGGAGTCTTAGCCACTGGACCAGAAGGGAAATCCCAGGGCCTTGCGTAGAGCAGAATTTACTTCTCTAGAGAATCCTGGAGTAGAATATCATCATTTCACATTATTATAAAGAAACTTCAGGCAAAAATTAACATTGAATTTCTTGACTAATGGTTATTTAGGTTCTTAATTTTTTTGCCTACTACATAAAACACTTCAATGAACAGCTCTGTACATATATCCCTGTACACATACTGAAGTATTTCTATTGGACAAGTGAAGTTTCTTCAAGAATTCTTTGGGCATAGTATTTCAAACTGACATAACCTGCCCAGAGCAGCAGGAGACATGAGTTCAATCCCTGGGTCAGGAAGATCCCCTGGAGGAGGAAATGGCAACCCACTGCAGTATTCTTGCCTGGGTAATCCCATGGACAGAGAGGCCTAGCAGGCTACAGTTCATGGGGTCGCAGAGTCAGACACGACAGCATGTGAAAACACAGCATGCACACACACTCAGAACAGCAGTCCACACGTCATGGTCTGGGTTTCACCTCCCCATACAGAGGAGTGGGTGGTGAGCTGAGGCCCCCAGTGGCTCTGGGCAACAAATTTCACCCATAGCCACAACCAAAGCCACAGGTGATTTTCAACCAATGTCAAAACTATATAAACTTTTACTCCTGAAATAAATGGTCTACTGCCCCCTGCCTTTATCAATAATAAATACTGTCAGTATTTTTATATTTTCTTTCATACCATTATTCTTTTTACTTTTCTTTTGATGTCTTCTTTATTAACTATTTATAAAGTATATTCACCAAGTAGACTATTGCTAAACTATTAAAGGTGAAATTTTTTCTACTGGGATTTCTAAACATGGATGCTTCACTGATAACAGAATGACATCTTAAAACGGCCCTCACCAGATATCTAGAATACATGTACAGAAAATAGGCTTTCTTGCTATTGCAGCCATGCAAGAAATGTGCTGCCCGATCATACTCTTTAACATCAAAGTAGGCCTTGGCCAGGGTGTAAGCATCCATATCCTGGGCATCTTCCTAAAAAAGAGACAAGCTTATGTTGGTGATTAAGAACAGGATAACAAAAGTTCAAATCCAAGAAGCATATTTATTAAACTCAAGATGTAAGAAACAATAATTATTTTCCTCCTCCCCAAAATGCAATACTTATTTATTAGTTTATAAAGTAAGGTAACAGTACATTCTTTCAAAATAAAAAGTTGGGGAAAGAACTTTAGCACTCAGAAATTTGTATTGTTTCTACAAATGTAGTGGGAAGTAGCATATGCTTTAGTGTTAGGCACCTAGATTTAAATTCTGACTCCTTGACTTCCTGGATTCAAGATGTTAGCAGGGAACTTACTTAGCTTCTCTGAGTATTCACTTCTTCATCTGTAAAATGGGGCCAATAATACACATATGATATGAGGAAAAAGTAAAAAAGTCATGAAAAATGTCTAGTATTAATATCTGACATTCCTTTCCTTCTCCAGACTTTTAAATGTTCACATGAATGCAATATATTGTGGAATTAATTGTATTTTTTGTTCTTCAAGTTTTGACACATTAGTACTGTAAAAGCAAAAAACACAGCTATATTCTCTATGTAAAAAATTTGAATGATACATGCTTGAGGTAAAAATATACAATCTCCTCAAATTCTAGGGATAAGTTGATTAAAACTTTAATAATTTCATTCTCTTCATCCCTCCTGCCCAAATACTGTCAGCACAAAACTGGAACCAAAATTATATTCATGTTTTCTTCATTGGATGAACATGTCCTAAATGTGGCCATTCAAGCTTAGGATTCTGGTGGCCCTTTTCACATACATTCATCATTTGCTTATTTCTTCTTCCACCTCTCTCACTTGCATTATACATTTTTTGTGTGACTTGTATTTTTTTTTTTACTGGAATTACTTTATAATTTTGTGTTAGTTTCTGTTGTACAACATCAGTGAATCAGCCGTAAGTATACATATATCCCCTCCCTCTGAGTCTCCTTCCCACTCTCCCACACCATCCCTCTATTTATCAGAGTACTGAGTGCAGCTCCCTGTGTTATACAGCATCTTCCTGTTAGCTATATATTTAACACATGGTAGTGTATATACGTCATGTATTGTACCTTTTGGATGAATGAATATTTACTGTTTTTAAGAGTGTGTGTGTGTGTGTGTGTGTGTGTGTGTGTGTGGTTGGAGGAAGAGTGGAATCAAATGGCATCTTCAGGAAAAACAAAATGGATTATGACAAATATCTTTCAGACTACAGACTATGTAAACATATGTACTATAGATCATACACAAAATGTATCATATCTCATTTAACTCTCTCAGTATCCCCATAAAGTAAATACTATTATCTGCATTTCACTGACGAGGAAACTGGCTCAGGAGGTTAATTATGTAAATGTCAAAACTCACTAGTATGACTGAGATTTGAACCCAGAACCGTCTGGATCCAAAATCGGTTTCACACTGTGGTAAAAACCTTTGATGCTTCTCCTCGTTATGAATACTGTCGAGGTTGAGCTGTAAAATCTAAAAGGATGAAATCTTAAGCAAGCATTATTTACTAATTCCTCCAAAAGCTTAAGTTGGAGCACCAAGTCTTTCCAAGCTTAGAAAACACATACAGATAAAATTGCTTAAAATATCCATCTCTGTGAATGGCTTGAACTCCCTCTACAAACATCCCTGATAAACACTGTGCTCCCCTCTGGTGACAGGGCACTCAGTATCTTTTCTGATGCTGGGGAGCACTCGCTGTGAATACGTCGTTACCTCTGTAATAGGCGGCGGCGGCTGCAGCTCAGCCAGAGGCAATGCTGGGAGGGAGAAGGCCAACTCCGCAGACCTGGAACAGCCACACAAACTGAATCAGCCCAAGCCCCCAGGGCCGAGGATCCAACCCTGGTCCCCTCGGACCCCGACATCGTACCACTTGCTACTGTGCAGGAGGCCCCGCTCCCGGGTGAGGCCCGCGATAAGTAGCAGCTGCTTTTTAATTTCCCGCAAATTTGAGAAATCGCAGCTGGATGGCAGGATCGGCACGGAGGAAGCCGTCGCGGCCACCGACACTATAGAGGAGCTCGCAGCCATTTTCCTGTCTCGGCCACCCCAACCAATCATCAGCGAAAATACTGCCTGACCCTCTGAACCAAAAAAGTCCGTCTGTTATTGGCGGGTTCTTGCTACAGAAGAACCAATCAGAAACCTCCCTTCTCGTAAAGTCACTAAGAGGTCGGGAGGAAAGAGACAATTACGTCTCCGATTGGCGAAGAACTACTGGCCCGGGAAAGTTAGAACAAGAAAGAGTGGGCAAAGCCACGATTTCTGGGCGGGGCAGAGAGGAATGAGTGAATGTTAAGGTGGACTGGAAACTAGGGTTGGGAGGGCAAGAGTGTGCAGAAGGGAGAGAGCCCTGCCCTGCACCTTAAGGATGATGTGATTGGACTAAAGACAGAGGACTTCCTGGGCAGACTCTGCCGCTGAAGGACAGTGAGGTATGGTGTCTAGCAAGGATGTCTGATATACGCTAGATTTTTTTTTTTTTAAGAAGCAAGATGTATGGCCACAGGTGAGTTCTTCCTCTTTCAGTTCAGTTCAGTCCCTCAATCGTGTCCAACCCTTTGCGACCCCATGAACTGCAGATGCCAGACTTCCCTGTCCACCAACTCCCTGGAGCTTGCTCAAACGCATGTCCTTCAAGTGGGTGATACCATCCAATCATCTCATCCTCTGTCCTCCCCTTCGACCCCTGCCTTCAATCTTTCCCAGCAGCAGAATCTTTTCCAGTGACTCAGTTCTCCACATCAGGTGGCCAAAATATTAGCGTTTCAGCTTCAACATCACTCCTTCCAATGAATATTCAGGACTGATTTCTTTCAGGATGGACTGGTTTGATCCCTTTGCAGTCCGAGGGACTCTAAAGAGTCTTCTTCAACACCACAGTTCAAAAGCATCAATTCTTTGGCGCTCAGGTTTCTTTATACTCCAACTCTCTCATCCATACGTGACTACTGGAAAAACCATAGCTTCGACTAGACGGACCTTTGTTGGCAAAGTAATGTCTCTGCTCTTTAATATGCTGTCTGGGTTGGTCATGGAGAAGGAAATGGCAACCCACTCCAGTATTCTTTCCTAGAGAATCCTGTGGACAGAGGAGCCTGGTGGGCTGCTGTCCATAGGGTCGCATAGAGTTGGACATGACTGAAGCAACTTAGCATGCATGTATGCTTTGGAAAAGGAAATGGCAACCCACTCCAGTATTCTTGCCTGGAGAATCCCAGGGACGGAGGAGCCTGGTGGACTGCCGTCTATGGGATCGCACAGAGTCGGACACAACTGAAGCAACTTAGCAGCAGCAGCAGCCACTGAGTTGGTCATAGCTTTTCTTCCAAGAAGCAAATGTCTTTGAATTTCATGACTGCAGTCACCATCTGCAGTGATTTTGGAGCCCAAGAAAATAAAGTCTCACTGTTTCCATTGTTTCCTCATCTATTTGCATGATAGGACCGATTGCCATGATCTTAGTTTATTTGAATGTTGAGTTTTAAGATAACTTTTTCCCTCTCCTCTTTCACTTTCATCAAGAGACTCTTTAGTTCCTCTTTGCTTTCTACCTTAAGGGTGGTATCATTTGCATATCTGAGGTTATTAATATTTCTCCCCCAGTCTTGTTCCAGCTTATGCTTCATGCAGTCCAGCGTTTCACATGATGTACTCTGCATATAAGTCAAATAAGCAGGGTGACAGTGTACAGCTTTGATGTACTCCTTTCCCGGTTTGAAACCAGTCTGTTGTTCCATGTCTGGTTGCAACTGTTGCTTCTTGACTTGCATAGATTTCTCAGGAGGCAGGTAAGGTGGCCTGGTATTCCCATCAGCTTAAGAATTTTCCAGTTTGTTGTGATCCACACAGTCAAAAGCTTTGGCATAGTCTATGAACTCCTTATTGCCAAATTCAGACATAAATTGAAGAAAGTAGGGAAAACCACTAGACCATTCAGGTATGTCCTAAATCAAATCCCTTACGATTATACAGTGCAAGTGGGAAATAGATTTAAGGGACTAGATCTGATAGACAGAGTGCCTGATGAACTATGGACGGAGGTTTGTGACATTGTACACGAGACAGGGATCAAGACCATCCCCAAGAAAAAGAAATGCAAAAAATCAAAATGGCTGTCTGAGGCGGCCTTACAAATAGCTGAGAAAACAAGAGAAGTGAAAAACAAAGGAGAAAAGGAAAGATATACCCATTTGAATCCATAATTCCAAAGAATAGCAAGGAGAGATGAGAAAGCCTTCATCAATGATCAGTGCACAGAAGTGGAGGAAAACAATAGAATGGGAAAGACTAGAGATCTCTTCAAGAAAATGAGAGATACCAAGGGAACATTTCATGCAAAGATGGGCTCAATAAAGGACAGAAATGGTATGGACCTAACAGAAGCAGAAGATATTAAGAAGAGGTGGCAAGAATACACAAAAGAACTATACAAAAAAGATCTTCACAACTCAGATGACCACAATGGTGTGATCACTCAGCTAGAGCCAGACATCCTGGAAAGTGAAGTAAAGTGGGTCTTAGAAAGTATCACTACTAACAAAGCTAGTGGAAGTGATGGAATTCCAGTTGAGCTATTTCAAATCCTAAAAGATGATGCTGTGAAAGTGCTGCACTCAATATGCCAGCAAATTTGGAAAAGTCAGCAGTGGACACAGGACTGGAAAAGGTCAGTTTTCATTCCAATCCTAAAGAAAGGCAATGCCAAAGAATGTTCAAACTACCACACCATTGCACTCATCTCTCATGCTACTAAAGTAATGCTTAAAATTCTCCAAGTCAGGCTTCAACAATACATGAACCATGAATTTCCAGATGTTCAAGCTGGTTTTAGAAAAGGCCAAGGAACCAGAGATCAAATTGCCAACATTCGCTGGATCATTGAAAAAGCAAGAGAGTTCCAGAACATCTACTTCTGCTTTATTGACTATGCCAAAGCCTTTGACTGTGTGGATCACAACTAACTGTGGAAACTTCTGGAAGAGATGGGAATCCCAGACCACCTGACCTGCCTCTTGAGAAATCTGTATGCAGGTCAGGAAGCAACAGTTAGAACCAGACATGGAACAACAGACTGGTTCCAAATAGGAAAAGGAGTACTTCAAAGCTATATATTGTCACCCTGCTTATTTAACTTATATGCAGAGTACATCATGAGAAACACTGGACTGGAAGAAGCACAAGCTGGAATAAAGATTGCTGGGAGAAATATCAGTAACCTCAGATTTGCAGATGACACCACCTTTATGGCAGAAAGTGAAGAAGAACTAAAGAGCCTTTTTATGAAAGTGAAAGAGGAGAGTGAAAAAGTTGCCTTAAAGTTCAATATTCAGAAAACTAAGATGATGGCATCTGGTCCCAACACTTCATGGCAAATAGATGGGGAAACAGTGGAAACAGTGGCTGACTTTATTTTGGGGGGCTCCAAAATCACTGCAGATGGTGACTACAGTCATGAAATTAAAAGATGCTTGCTCCTTGGAAGGAAAGTTTTGAGCAACATAGACAGCATATTAAAAAGCAGAGACATTATCTTGCCAACAAAGGTCTGTCTAGTCAAGGCTATGGTTTTTCCAGTAGTCATGTATGGATGTGAGAGTTGGACCATAAAGAAAGCTGAGCACCAAAGAATTGATGCCTTTGACTGTGCTGTTGGAGAAGACTTGAGAGTCCCTTGGACTGCAAGGAGATCCAACCAGTCTACCCTAAAGGAGATCAGTCCCGAATATTCATTGGAAGGACTGATGTTGAAGCTGAAACTCCAATAATTTGGCCACCTGATGCAAAGAACTGACTCATTGGAAAAGACCCAGATGCTGAGAAAGATTGAGGGCAGGAGGAGAAGGGGATGACAGCGGATGAGATGGTTGGATGGCATCACCAACTCAGTGGACATGGGTTTGAGTAGACTCCGGCAGTTGGTGATGGACAGGGGGACCTGGCATGCTGCAGTCCATGGAGTCGAAAAGAGTCAGACATGACTGAGCAACTGAACTGAACTAACTGATAAACCAAAAGTAGATGTTTTTCTAGAACTCTCTTGCTTTTTCTATGATCCAACAGATGTTGGCCATTTGATCTCTGGTTCCCCTGCTTTTTCTAAATCCAGCTTGAACATCTGGTTTATGTACTGTTGATGCCCAGCTTGGAGAATTTTCAGCAATACTTTGCCAGCATGTGAGATGAGCGCAACTGTGTGGTAGTTTGAACTTTGGCATTGCCTTTCTTTGAGACTGGAATGAAAATTGACCTTTTCAGTCCTGTGGCCACTGGTGTGAGTGAGTGAGTGAAGTCACTCAGTTGTGTCTGACTCTTTGCGACCCCATGGACTGTAGCTTACCATGCTCCTCCATCCATGGGACTTCCCAGGCAAGAATACTGGAGTGGGTTGCCATTTCCTTCTCCAGGAGATCTTCCCGACCCAGGGATTGAACCTGGGTCTCCCGCACTGTAGGCAGACGTTTTACCGTCTGAGCCGCCAGGGAAGTCGGCCACTGCTGAGTTTTCCAAATTTGCTGGCTTACTGAGTGCAGCACTTTCACAACATCTTCTTTTAGAAAGTGAAATAGCTCAACTGGAATTCCATCACCTCCACTAGTTTTATCTGTAGTGATGCTTCCTAAGATCCACTTGACCTTGCATTTCAGGATGTCTGACTCTAGGTGAGTGATCACACCATCATGGTTATCTGGGTCATGAAGATCTTTTTTGTATAGTTCTTTTGTGTATTCTTGCCACCTCTTCTTAATATCTTCTGCTTCTGTTAGATCCTTATGGTTTCTGTCCTTTATTGTACTCATCTTTGCACAAGATGTTCCCTTGGCATCTCTAATTTTCTTGAGATCTCTAGTCTTTTCCGTTCTGTTGTTTTCCTCTATTTCTTTGCATTGATCACTGAGGAAGGCTTTCTTATCTCTCCTTGCTGTTCTTGGAGCTCTGCATTCAGATGGATATATTTTTCCTTTTTTCCTTTAACTTCTCTTGTTTTCTCAGCTATTTGTAAGGCCTCCTCAGACAACCATTTTGCCTTTTTGCATTTCTTTTTCTTGGGGATGGTCTTGATCCCTGTCTCCTGTACAATGTT